TCTATTATCTACTAGAAGAAAAAATAATGTACTTAATGAACTACATGACTCTACCACACTTAGTTTTAAAACTCTAAAAATATTAATAAAAAACTATTTATTTATTTAACTAAATTAATATTATTTTTTGATATTGATTTGGCTAAAATAAAATTATAATAAAATAAATATTTTGACCTAATTTACGATTTAGGTTCTAAACATATCTTAAATATCTTTTAGACAACAATTGGTACCACACTATTCTACGTAGAATCCAAATAGTTGACAAACATTTAATATTACTTCAAGCCATATCAAGTATCTGAAAATTTAACTAGGAATGAAAAAAATAAAAAATAATTTCAAAATAAATAGAAAAAGAAATCTTACATCTTGATATGAAACATCATATTACCAAGGTACAAATTCAGTTTTAGAGTCTTATAAGGTAGAAAATCTTCAAATTAGAGATTTAGTAAATCTAGAAGGAATTATTCTAGTTGATTTATTATATTGATATTATTTTTATGTTTTTTTCTTCTTTATGAGAATCTTTTTAATCTCTTAAGGTAATTTTTTAAATGATATTTTTCTTATATAAATTACTTATTAGAAGCTTATAAATAATAATCAATCTGTAAAAGGAGCTTGGTTTGTAGAAAAATATGGTTAACTTGTAATTTAAATTGACAAGTAAACTTTACAATCACTACTAAAAACATATGTAATGCCATAAAAAAAATTTACATGATATGAATTTTTAACATATGATTTAATAACTTGAAAATTATTATGTATAATTTCTATTTAAAATAATTCTTTTAATAATTCTTAGATTTAGCATTCTATACAATTAAAATTTAGAAAGCTTATCATATTTCTAAGTTTTAATAATACTTTCAATGTTCATTCATTTGATGAATTTTATACAGAATCTAAGTCATACAACTTTAATAGTTTTATCATTAATTTGAAGCATTCTAAATTCTAATCTTAATCCTTATTTAATTCTAATTAATTCCAACAAACCTTAATAGTTTTAATATAGAAATTAATATCTTAATTCTAATAATATCTCATAAATTCTAACAATATCAATCTTAATCAAAGTTTTAAATAAAATTTAAAAAATTACAAAGCCCATTAAATTCCAAACCTATTTTCTTAAACAGTCTTAAAAAAATCTAAAGTCACAAATACAAATTCTAAACTATAAGCTTAATAAATAATTTAGAAAAATCATAAATATTTAAATAAATACATAAAAATAGTAATGACAACCACAAGCCAAATCATATTGCAATTTTATACATTGAAATAGACTAAAATGCTATGTTTTTGTTAGTTTTATTAACTTACTTATTAATCAATTAAGAAATTTTAACTCCTAGCTTAGAATTCTTTCTTTATTGAACAAGTAGAATCTCCTCAATACTTTGATTTTAATAATAGATTTTTAATAATATTTAAATTCTTTAAATCAAACACTAATTGCGCTCATCAAGACCAAAATTTATGGAAATATAATAGTTGATTTTTAAAAACTATATTCTAAAGTTGGAAATAATTCCTAAGTTTCCAAGTTCTCAATTTTCTAGGTTGAACTACTACTTTCTTAGTTGAGAAGAACCTTAGGAGATACTAGATTAACCAAAGGGGTGTACCAAAATATCTATTTTCTTTAAAAAACATTCATTTTTTTAACATATATCTTTAAAAGAACTTCGATTGGCACTAAAGTGCTCTTAATATATTTCATACTCAACAATGCAAATAATAACCTAACCACTCAGTTTAATAATTTTGACAAATGCCAAACTATAGAACTTGTCAACAAGATGTTCCAAAAGTAGAATTCACTCTTCGAGATAAATGCAAAGATTTTAAACTAGAGCAGTTTATTTTATTTTATTTTATTTTCTAGACTTGGTTGTATTATTAAATTTAAAATGTACTTGACCATAAAATAAAAAAAATCATAGATGAGTTGTAAATACTATTGCCTAAAGCATCCGAAAATAAAATAAAAAACTCTTTTTCTTGAATATATGACTTTGATCTTCATAAACTATTTTTAAAAAAAGACTAATAGAAAAAAATATTCAGATTTTAATATAATATTAGAAGGTAGATGTTTTAGCCTAGATACTAATTTTCTTCCATAAAATTATTTATTTTTGATGCAAAAACTTGTAATGGTTAATAAAATAATTAAAATTCTATTTAGAATTTATTTAAACCAAATAATATATATTTATAATAAGATAAGTTATATAAGCTTAAGCCTAAAAAGTCTAGTTTATAACTTAATTAAATAATATATATATATATATATATATATATATACAATTATACAAAAAAATATTTAAAAATTATACCTCTAAAAATAGATTTTAAATTCTAATTAATTCAATTATTTTGTTATCACTTGGCAATCTAAAAAGTAAGCTTGCCTATTCCAAATTCAAATTATTTCTGTTATTATTAAAATAAAATTAAAAGATTACAGCAAACAAACCTTAAAAAGAATTAGTGCATAGTAGATTACAACAAACAAACCTTAAAAAGAATTATTGCATAGTAGATTACAACAAACAACCCTTAAAAAGAATTAGTGCATATTACATTGAACAGCATGTAATTGCACTTAAAAAGATCATATTTGCAGAATAAATTTATAGAAAACAAAGTAAAATAAAATAACAAACCAAAACAAAGAAAAATCTACTCTACAAACAAATAAAATAAATGTTAAATTTTCACTACTATTTTGTTTGGATGCATCAAATATAATTCCTATACTATTGGACACATTTGTTGGTTATCTCATTTTCATATAAATTGAACCAAGCTCCTTCCATGTTAATTTTATTTCATACCTCACTTCCAAGTTTTAAAAATGTTTTTTTTCTCATACGTTTATTAGCATAATAAAATTGGTTCCTAAAAGGGTTGGTTCTATATATTGTAATAATAATAAGCAAGTATTTTCCTCCTTACCCCTTCAAAAGTAACACAAACACACACACACACACACACACACACACACACAAAAAAAAAAAAAAAAAAAAAAAAAGGCTGTCAAAACTCAATACACAATGGAGCATTTTCAACACCACTTATTACATATTTCAATGGACAAAGTTTCACATTCTACATTCACCCACAAATTCACTACACGAAAGGAACTAAACTAATCAACTATTGCAGGGATTATCAAATACGTGATAATAGAATAGATCCCTAATGATATCTTGATTGTAATTTCGTCTTTTAAAAACAAAAATAAAACCAATCATTGACCAGAAACATATGAAAGATAGAAATTTGTTTAACAGCTCATGTTCAGGTGCTCACCAACAAAGAAAATCAAAAGTGTACGATCCTGACATATACTGGATGACAAGAGTTTGAAAATTTTGCAGGTGACAATTTTAGGTGGAACGAAGAGAACGTTAGAAGGAAGTCTAAGCCACTAATACATTTCGAGGCGGAACATTACCACAGTTCATTTCATTGTTGAGAATTTGGCACCTTTCGGCCTTGGACACACTCGTATTTTCACGTTGATATTCATTTGCCCGTGCTGACTTTCAGTACGAGAAAAAAATATTCTTGTTGGAGTACGGTTATTTGCATACGTTCAAATAAATATTTACTTTATAGTCAGCACTTCGTCTTCCATGACGTATTTCATATTTGCTGAAACACTTCATCCAATACCACCTGCTGTACACTCAAACCATCGTGACACCAACTAAATCCTTACTTCCAGTTCACTACCACACCATAGATCAACTACACGGTGCACCTTACCTTATTAGGTGTTCAAATTCTACATCGAACCCAGGTGCAAACTGCCATCTACGTTCTCAATATGTGCTGCGACTCGACGACAGCCGGACCAGTCCTGCACGAAAGAGCTGCCCGTCGAATCATTGTCAAAGCCAACAAACGGGGACAATCCGCAAAATTATATAGTCACAACTTCATGCGACCCTAACCAATCGCTTTCCTCAAGCTGCAATATCACATCTCAATCCCCTACAACTGGACTCGTAACAGATCCTCCGAACTACGCTCACAGTCCATCTCATATCTCTCTCTTGACACTGTACAGCTAGGCACCATTCTCAACCCCCCAACAGTCACCAGCCACACCAATCCAACAATCAACTGTTCCCGGGTCTATTCCTAAAACCTATCGGCTCCACATACAATACCGTACGTCGCCCAACTAACTGCACCTCGCCAACTTCACATCCACGTCTCCAAACCAGCATGCCACCCTGCAACCTCAACTCCTAACTATACCACCCCAACGCCTGCCCCCGCCACTGTCATCCCTTGCTCACCCATCTCTAAAAACACCACGCCTTCTAAATATGCCCAGCGGCGCACAAAAACGTGTGTCCGTGCCATGCTGACCGCGTTCCGCTTATTCCTGCCCACATGACAAACACATTCTCTCCGACCTTCGTCACATAAACCACTAAACAAACCCACACGAACTCCTCCCTGCCGCTTCACATGACGCATAACCACGCCACGCACCCAAGCTCATGCATCCACAAAACACTCTCCATCTCCTACGATTCACACCCACCATGTCGCGACGCCATTGCACGTCAGGGCTACTTCACATCCTCGACATCCGCTTCCATCCAAAACACACCCGACCGCACACCTCAACGTTCCCCAAAAACTCCTACAAATCTCGCTTTTCCAAGCAACCCAAAGCATAATATCTCGTCACCACTCTCCTCCACGCACCACTTAACACTTCACAGACCACGTACTCTAACACACCACTCAATGACTCAAAACTTTTACACACTAACCCACAACCCACAACCCACAACCGCAGCTTCAATGCGACGTCCCAACACACCACCAAACCATACCACCCCTCACGATTTCGTCACCATCCGCTGTCGCAACACACCATCCATGAACTCTCCCAACTCCAACCTCCAAAACATCGCATCCACACCTCCCACCCTCTACCAAACCAAACATACCATGCTGCATCAGCTACCGGGTTAATGAATAAAGAATCAAAGTAACGCCATCAATGGCAAAAGCTAACTGTTCCACCCTTCACAAAGCCTATCCACAGTACTATCACTTCATCCTCACAAATCGTCAATAAAACTCCCGATTTGTGCTACCCCTACCACCACTTATTCCATAAACGTCAAAGAATTTTCACTCCTCCCTACTTCAATGTGTCGCCCCCCTATCTTGTCCGCATCAGAAGCACGTAGTTGTCGAACCCACTGTGGCGACCCGCAGTGCGGCGGCAGGGGCGACCGCTCGTCGGCGTCTCGGCCTCGCTGCTGCTGCTGCTGCTGCTGCTGTTGTTGTTCTCGTCGTTCGTCAGAACGTGGCTGAGTTGCCATTTTGGCTGCATTACCGCCTTTGCCTTGCCTCGACTGCTTCTCTTCCCTCTTAGACCTGCTTGTGGCACCTCCGTCTCCTTTGGTGTCTCCGGTGTCACCGGCGCCGGTGGAGCTTCTGACCCACACCCGTTATCCCTGTCCAATCAACTCTTTCCCATCAGTTTCCTCCACACCCTACAAGCGACACTCATCATCGTGACTTCATCAAACCAACTTTCCCACCGTGACTCTCACACCACTCACCTCGCAACACAACACACGCTCATCTACCCCACCGTCACCCTGCCCTCCCACAATCTTCCACCCTAATCCCATCTCCACCAATCCACACAATACACCCAACCCTCCTCATCCAACGCTCTACGCAAACCAAACTGGGTGTCGTGAGGGAGGTTGCGTACTCCGTCTCCTTGTCGTAAAACTCCAATGTTTTGGAAGTCATGCATGGGATCTCCATCCCGTGCGCCTCTGCTACCCCAACGTGCTGCGATTGCTCGCAATCAGGGCACACGTACTCCGCGTTCTCCAATTCGCCCAACGACCCCCCCTCGCTTCTCTCTGGCTCCGCCAAACCCAAGCATCCGTAATGGTACCACTCCCTGCACTGGTCGCACGCTATCATGGCTTCCTCCTCGTCGTAAGGCTTCCGACATATGCAGTACACTACACTCCTCCTCCTCAAACCCTGTTGCAACCAAAACCCCATGCAATCCAACTCCCATTAGACGCTATCACTCCTCACAACGTTTACCTCCACCACAATCACCACCCCTTTCCTTCGACGCGGCCATCACCCGTTCCCTCATCACACCCACTATCGACTTCAGACACTCATCCATCGTCCATTCCTCAACTCCCAGCAATGTACACCGCAATCAAACCTGCGCCTCAAGTCCACGACCATCCATCACGCCAAAACCTCCCCATCATCACCCACTGCAAACCCAAACGCCACTGCTCATCACCACACGAAATGCTTCCACACTTACACTCAGCTCTTCTGACACTGATACCGACAACCGCTCGCCTTCTGCGATCAAATCTTCCACATCCTCCAGCGATGCTACCCCCTCGTCCCCCATCACCTGTCAATCAACATACTGTCAGAAACGCATACTGCACCAACACTCGGCACCCACCAACCGACCTTCGATAAACCGCCCGCCTTCACACCGTCCTAACATGTAAAAACGAAGTAACTCATAAAACCGCTCCAACCGCAATCTCCTCAAATCACCCACCCCTTCTTCCTAACCTCCACCATATGAACGCCATCACAACAACACACGA